ACGGAGGAGGCGACAGCAGAAGGGGAGGAACGAGACGCGTGGGAACGAAGCAACATAGGGTGGGAGCGCAAGACAGGCGAGGCAGGACGAGCACGGGAGGGACGGTGAGACCAGACGTGCGACGGAGGAGTCGGGTCAGGGGACAGGGGAGGGGACACAGGAGGGGAACGAGGGGGGAGACAGGCCGGGGACGAGTCCGGCGGAGGGAAAACAGGGCCGTAGACAGGAAGAGGAGGAGACGAGCGGGGAGGAACAGACGCAGGGTCGGGAGACGGAAGGCCGAGCAGGCGAAGGGCTTACACCGGCGGGGACTGCTCCTGCGGCGGCACAACGGCGACACCTGGACCGCAAGCTGCTCCTCGGCTACCACCGGCACTCTCCACACCAGCACCCCCAGAGTCAGTGAACGGGGGCTGCGACGGCGGCGGCGGCAACGACAACGACGGCTGCAGCGGCGGCAGAGGCGGTGGAGGAGGGGACTGGGGAGGGGACGCTGGGGGAGGGGCGGCCGGCGAGGACTGCACAGGAGGGCCACCAGAGTCAGAAGACTCCTCAACCGGGTCCTCCGACTGAAGGGGGGTGACGTGGGACACACCCGAGGGGGCGGGACGGGGAGGAGGAGGAGGAGGGGCAGGGACTACCGGGGAAGGAGTGACTAGGAACAGGGGGGGGGTAACCGGGGGACCACGGTGGGGGAAGCGACGGTAGTAGGGGACGGACTCGTCAAAGGTGACGTCACGAGAGTGAAAGAAGCGGTGAGACGGCGGGTGGTAAAAGTGCCAGTCGGACGCGTCAAGAGGAAAACCGAGGAAGACGCAGGGAAGGGTGCGGGCAGTGAGCTTGTCCGTGCCGGAGGCACGAACGTGAGCAAGGCAGCCCCAGACGTGGAACGCAGACGCGTCACTAGGAGACCCAGTCCAAAGACTGGTCGGCGAAACCTGCAGCTGCTGAGAGTGCGGCCACAAGTTAAGCTGGTGAGAAGCGTAGCGCACAGCGAACGGCCACAGAAAATGGGGTGCACCGGCATGGATCATGGAGGTGCGAGCCACCTCCATGACCAAACCGATGCGTCGCTCAGCGACCCCATTCTGCTGTGGGGAGTCCGGTAGGGTGAACGTCTGGGTGATGCCCTCCGCACGACAAAAGCGACCAAGGACACCGGAGGCAAACTCGCCACCACGGTCTGAGTGAAGACGCAAGACAGGGAGACCGCGGTGGACACGCGCAGAGACAAGCCAGGGGATGAGAGCGCCAGGCACGTCGGCCTTGCGCTCCAGGGGAAAGACTGTGGTGTAACGAGTGAAGTCGTTGACAAGCACAAGGAAGTAGCACTCTCGACGCGGCCCAGGGACGGGGGCGGGGCCCCAGACGTCCAGGTGTAGGGTCTGCAGCGCCGCGGCGGTAGGGGGAAACGAGGAGGAGTGAGGGGCACGGCGAAGCCGACCCTCGACACAAGGCGTGCAAGGTGGGGCTGGGGAGGAGGGAAACGCGGGGAGAGAACCTGGGAGACCAAGGACAAGACCGTGCTGGGACATGTGACGCAGGCGCAGGAGCGCAGGGTGACCTAGGCGGTGGTGCCAAAGGAGGGTCGGGTGAGTGAGGGACCGACAGGAGCAGGCGGCAGCAACCTGGGTGAGCGCTCCAGCCGGGGGGGTCACGGTGTCCAGAGTGAACAGGCCGGACACCGGGTCCCGGGGGAACGTGGACAGGGGGGCACCAGTGGCGGCCTCGGTACAGACAGCATACCGCTCGTGACCAGGGAACGTAGTGGTGACGCCAAGGTCCTGGAGGCAGCCGACACCAACTAGGTTCCTGGAGAACGAGGGGATATGCAGACCTGTGAGAGTGCCCGAAGGAACCGCCGGACAGGGAAGGGTGGTAGAACTGCGGTCGACTACCGAACCGCCGGAGGGGTCAGCAAGAGAAACGGCAGCAGGAACAGGAAGCGGCGTCAGGGTGGTGGAGTCGCGGAAGAAACACCGAGAAGCGCCAGAATCCAAGGTGAAGGAAAGCGAAGCAGAGGTGGCTGGCGACGGAACGACGGCGGAAGCACCAAGACTACACAAAGCAGAGGATCCTGCGCCTAACGCAGCAGGGGAGGCTACGCTAGGCACACCTACACTAGGCAACAGTGAGTAATAAGTTGGAAGCACACTAGAGTCATCAGCATACATCACATGCAGAGCAGAAACAATGGCATCCATGTCCATATCAAAGATCTGAATCTTACGACTAAGCAAACTGTGCCAGTCCGGGAGGTCTGGCGACGTGCCGAAGCGCTGACGAAAGAGGTCGTCCAGGCGACGAAAACAGCGGGGAGTGGAGTGACTGATCTTACCGCAAACGAAGCCGCGGCGAGGACCGGTCTGGATCTGGTACTGACAACGCCCGCCGCCAGAGCCACCACTCGGCACACCACCACGCGCCCGGCCACCGCCAGCGCCGGGCCACCCGGGCGGGAGGACACTCGTCTGCCGTATCTGCGTCGGCTGCTGCGGCTGCTGCGAAGGCTGCGACTGCGGCGGCTGCTACGGCTGCTGCAACTGCAGGGGCGGCGGCTCAGCTGGACTGGGCAGGGTCCCCTCGTCCGCTCCAGCACCAGACGACCCGACCCCACCACTACCCCCTCCCGCACCCCCGCCTCCGCCTCCGCCGCGCCCAACTTTGGGGCGGCGGCCCTTCCCCGAACGAAACTGCGCTGAAGCAGCAGTCTCAGCCACTGCGGCAGAGCCGTCGGAGAAGGTACACTGAGCGGGGGCACAATCCTGAAAGATAGGGACCGGCACGGCACCGCTCGCCAGGGCGATGGAGCGGTGACGGGTCTCTATCACAGTCAGGGTGTCTACAAAGTCAGTGAGGGTGAGGTCTGCGGGGTGAATGCTAAGGAAGCGGTCGCGGGCGACAGCAAGGCGGTCAGGGAGGCGGGTGGCAAGCAGGTAGAGGGTAGAGGTAATGGGCGGCTGGTGGGCTCTAAGCTGTGCGTCAGTGCAGGCAGCGCGCCAGGTCTCATCTATCGAGCGCAGGTGGGCAGCAAGGTCAGAGACAGTAGGGAAAGATGCAAGGTCAGGAAAGAGCATCGGGAGGATCAGGCGACCCACCGAGGCAGCCGGAGGGGTGAAATAGCGCTGGATGACAGCATCTAAGTATGCCTGAGCAGTGGTGAGGGACCTAAAGCGAGGGCGCTCGGACGGGGGAAGGGCGTTGCTAATGGCAAGCTGGGCGACAGCATCGCGAGAAAGCCAGACAGAGCGCGCACGGGCAGTGGCAGCAGTAGACTCGCGCTCAGTGGGGGTGGAGTCAGCGGGCAACATAGCAGGGGGGTCTGGGCAGGGGAGCGTACCGTCAAGGTGTGCGGAAAGCGGTTCACCATCCTGCCGCTGGCCAGTGAGTTGGCGGCGGAGGTCGGCAAGCCACGCCTCGAACTCCAGAGGCTGGCCTTCAGCGTCGAAGCGAAGCTCCGCCGCCATCAGGAACAGTGCAGTGCGGTGCAGGGCAGTGCAGCAAGGTGGAGTGTGGTGCAGTGCGGTACAGTGCGGTGCAGTGCGGTGCTAGGCAGTACGGTGTGGTGCGGGGCGGTACGGTGCAGGGCAGTGCAGTGCGGGGGGGGGGGGGGGGGTGGGGGGGTGGGAACCGTACCAGTGAGGAGGACCGGGGCCGGGGTAGGGACGAGCGCAGGGGCCGGGCCGGTGCAACGGGGCCGGGCGGGTGCGACGGGGCCGGGCGGGCGCGACGGGGCCGGGCTGGTGCGACGGGGCCGGGCGGGTGCGTCGGGGCCGGGCTGCTGCGACGGGGCCGGGCTGGTGCGTCAGGGCCGGGCTGCTGCGACGGGGCCGAGCGGGTGCGACAGGGCCGGGCCGGTGCGACGGGGCTGGGCGGGCGCGACGGGGCCGGACGGGTGCGACGGGGCCGGGCGGCTGCGACGGGGCCGGGCGGGTGCGACGGGGCCGCGCGGGCGCGACGGGGCCGGGCTGGTGCAACGGGGCCGGGCGGATGCGACGGGGCCGGAAGGCGTGACGGGGCCCAGGAGGGGCTCGACGGGGCCGAGGAGGGGCGCTACGGGGCCCAGGAGGGGCGGTACGGGGCCCAGGAAAGGGCGGTACAGGGCCCAGGAGGGGCACTACAGGGCCCAGGAGGGGCCCAGGAGGGGCGCGACGGGACCCAGGAGGGGCACTACGGGGCCCAGGAGGGGCGCGACGGAACCCAGGAGGGGCGCTACAGGGCCCAGGAGGGGCGCGACGGGGCCCAGGAGGGGCGCTACGGGGCCTTGGAGGGGCGCGACGGGGCCCAGGAGGGGCGCTACGGAGCCCAGGAGGGGCGCGACGACGCCCAGGAGGGGCGCTACGAGGCCTAGGAGGGGCGCGACGGGGCCCAGGAGGGGCGCTACGGGGCCCAGGAGGGGCGCGACGGGGCCCAGGAGGGGCGCTACGGGGCCCAGGAGGGGCGCGACAGCGCCCAGGAGGGGCGCGACGGAGCCCAGGAGGGGCGCGACGAGGCCCAGGAGGGGCGCTACGGGGCCTAGGAGGGGCGCGACGGGGCCCAGGAGGGGCGCTACGGGGCCCTGGAGGGGCGCGATGGGGCCCAGGAAGGGCGCGACGGGGCTAGGGGGGAGTCGCGACAGGGCTAGGGGCACGACGGGGTTAGGAGGGAGACACGGCGGGGCGAGCTAGGGGGGCGAGCGGAAGCGGTAGGTGGGGGGGGGGATCCTAACCTACGCGTGATACCATATCAGAATTAGAGAAGTGTATGTTAGAGTGAGAGTACACACAGATATACCTAAGTGTTGTACCCTCTAAGAGGTGACCCTATACAGTCTATACAAACATGACAAATACACATGTTTGACAACAACCACTTAGACAAAATCACAATGTATCGACATTATAGTTAACGTTTTTCTACGCCAAGACCAGCATGTAGGACAGAGTTCCTATAGAAGTATTATCCCCACTATAGTCTACACATAGCTAGTCAAACATATACACAAATATATGTACACTACCATGTCTGAATGTTTACCCTTCAGATATAGCCAGCTGAATTAATATCGCCACAGCAGAAACATGTGATGTGATATTATCTGATTGCTCTTTTCCCGAATACGCATTACGAGCGACTTCACTATTTATCAAGCAAACAGCACAAGCCAAAGCCAAGAGCCACATAATCAGGCCGAATTGATCATTCATTGCCAAGCTCCATCTAGCCTCTGCCTGAACACAGTTGCATGTGCATGGGCATGGCAGTGCATGCCTGTGCCAGTCCAGCCCTCCCCTGATACACAAGCCACACGTTTACGCCGTTGCCTCGGCCTCCATACCCTCCGCAGCAGGAGCCTCGCTCTCCTCTGCTGGCCGGTCCAACTTGGTGCCCGTCTCCTCGCCGCTGTAGTCACCGTGTACCTGGAGGAGCAAGCAGAGGCGAGCACAAGGCGAAAGCTGAGATTTGAGCACAGGCCAACATGGCAAGTCTCAGTAAAGGAGACACTCCAACTTCGTGCCCATCTCATTGCCAACATAGTCAAGCCACAAGCAGCACAAGCAGCGTGAAGCACCAAGTCCATGCCAATTCCCAACTTCCTCTCCTCCCCTGCCAGTCTCCAAGGCCGCAGCCTCACTCCTCCTTATACCTCTATGACCTTGCCTGATCACCTCTTACCCGCTCCCCCCTGTCTCGGGACGGGACCACCCTTCCCTCCCTCTCGCATCTCCAAGAGCTGGCATGTCAACCCCCTCAAGTTTTCTCCCCTCCCCCATATCATCCCCTCTTGCCCCTCTGCACATTCTCCCTCGCCCCTTCCACCCCGCAACCCCCCCGCCTCCCTCACCTCCATGATCTTGCCTGTGGCCCCTCCTCATTCCCTCATTTCCTCTCTAACTCCCTCGCTCCCTCCCTCACTCCCTCACTCCCCCCCTCGCACCTCCATGAGTTTGCCGAGGTCGAACTTGGGCGCCTTGAGGATCTTGACCTTGCGGATGAGCGTGTTCTGCAGGGGGTAGATGCCGAAGCACGCCTTCTCCATCTCCTTGCCGATGCTCTCCGGGATGAACTTCGCCACCAGCTCCTTCAGGTCGCACGACGACGCCTCCTTGATCATGATCTCGCGCATCTTCCTCCGGATCTGGTTGTAGCGGGTACAAGGGAAGGGCGCCGGGGGCGGGGGGGGGGGGAAGGGGGGGAGGATGAACTTCGCCACCAGCTCCTTGAGGTCGCAGCTGGAAGACTCCTTCACCATGATCTCGCGCATCTTCCAACGGATCTGGCTATAACGGGGATGGGGGGTGGTTCAGGCAGTGAGGGAGCAGATGGGCAGAGCGAGAGGGGGAAGGGGGGTGTGCTCCTCATGAGCGGCGTCAACAACAGCCGGCACGACATGAGACGACTTAGAGGCACCTCAGAAAGGATGTGAGCAGCGACAACGGCCAGCAGCCATGGCAGGGCTGCGGGCCGTTGTGTGCCGCTAGTCCGCGAGGGACCGCGTCGCTGTGAGCGCCACGCGGCAGAACAAAGGCCATGGGATGCGGCCGAGCTCTGTTTGACTAGTGGCGCCGAATGAATTTAGCGACGACTGGGAGGGGCTTGCTCACGCTGCAACTCTTGATCCGCCCAATAGATGCTCGTCCCTTTTCACTCATCTAACGAGCTCCGTCCCCCTGTCCGGCTTGAGCTTAATACTAACGCTGCACCGAGCCCGGCACCTCGCTGCACTTCGCCAAGCATCTCGCCCGCACAGCTATTACGCTCCCTCCCTCCACACAGGGCGTCTGGCAAACCGCTGCCGACACTGACCTGTCGGATTTGGCTGCTCTGCGCGTAGCTGGTCTTCTTGATCTGGTTCTGGCGGCGCTTGGTGAAGGCGATGGCGAAGAGGCGCAGGGTGTAGCTGTCAGTCGTCTTCACGTCCACGTGGCACTCGATCAGCGTCTGCCACTTGCGCACCAGCGACCGCAGCTTGTCGGTCGTCAGGTCCATGCCCTGTAACGAGGATGGGGGGAGGAGGGAGAAGGAGAACGGGGAAAGGGTTAAGGGAATAAATGGTAGTCAATTGATCAGCGGCTGCCATTTGCGCACCAGCGACCGCAGCTTGTCGGTTGTCGGGTCCATGTCCTGTAACGGGGATAGCAAATGGTGCCCATTCTTCCCGCTTGCCCCTCCTCCGGCTTATTCGCTAGCGCCTGGAACGACTGCACCTCCACGGCATGACACCGTGACGCCACACCACGCCACGTAGAAGTAGAGCTGCTAAGCTCCGTCTCAAAACGTCTCACGAATGCGGCCTCCCGGCTAGGGTTTGGAACGATGGCACCTCCACTGCATGATGCCTCCATGGCACACTACACCATGCGCCCGTTATACCCTAGTTTTCGCAGGGCTGTTTGTCCATGGACCGCCATACTTCCCTCTACTCTACACTCCCTGTGCCTTTCACTAGCCGGTGCCCCTACTGACTGCTGCTGGTCTCCGCTACCCTATCTTCCGGTCCGCAAGTCCGCTGCGCTGAGAGGAGCTCCAACTGCGCCGCACGCGCCATTCGCGATGCGTCCCCGCCTCGTGACAAACTATCCTTCTAGCCACCAACACGGATGGCTGCTACCAGCCTAAAGCGGCGCCAGAGTAATTCAAGCGTGATTCGATATCCTCCCCTGCAGATCCAAGGTAAATTTTGCCGCCGATCTACCGCGATCCTGCCGCGCCGAATTCCCGTGCTACGATCCAAATCCGCGCCTACTTTCCCCTGCCATGCTCCTTCACGATAGACGTCCTCAAAACCCTAATAAACCTGTACGCGTGAGAGGCACTGCGGCTGTGAACGTTGCGACCCGTCACAACCGATACTTAGCAGCAGCGAAACGGTCGCGAAACAGCGACGGCTTCGCAGCTGACAAGCAACCATGTAAGACGCGCTCCACTCGCTTAAAACAGCACTCGGCGCACTCACCCGTAAGTTAGTAATCACGTTGAGGCCCCGAAACTTAGCAAACATCAACGCAGCCCTAAAGAAGCACTTCGCAAACGCTAGCTCGCACTGACCCAGAAGTTGGTGAGGACGTTGCGGCCCTGCACGTCCTCGGCGCGAAGCCTCATCTTGCGGAACGACTGCTCGTCGTCCACCTGCAGGTCCGCCAGCGACACCTCGAACACGCGCCCCTTCAGCCCGTCCGAGGCGATCTGCGGATTAACGAAGGGCAAAAGGATGAGAGAGAGGGCAGGTTAAAGGGCCTTCTTACGAGTTCACCTAAAACGTCGGCCAGCAAAACCTCGATGAATTGACCCTAAAGCCTTATCGCAGCGAACTGCGAGGAGAAAGACCCAGTAAGACGGCAACAATGTGAGCTGAGAAACTAAGAGACGCGTGACTACACTCCGAGAAAGATCGCCTACAGTTCAAGCACGCCATTCTTGAAAAATTCGAAACGTCCCAGGAGCGAAGATAAAGCTCGCGAAAGAGAGGCTTAGCGAAGGAAAGAGGTGGCACAGTGTGACCGACGCAGCGAGAGGTGAGGTAGCCCCCAGCTCGACTGAAGCTGATGGACGCGGCGCCAGAAACCCTAATTGAATGGCTCCTAGGCAAGACCAAGACTACGTCGCGTCCAAGGAGCATACGACGTTTCCAGGCGCGAGGAGCAGCTGGGCAAACAAGAGGCTGGCACGGAACCATAACGAATGTGCAACATGCGAGCGCGCACTGCAAAACGCCGCAACAGTTTGCTCACCTTGGTACCCTGCGTGCGCGTGACGAGGGTCTGGCCGACGTTCCTGGTGGCGAACATGGAGGGCGCCTTCACGGAATACCAGTCCTTCTTCGCGAAGGGATCCTGGCTGCGCGCACGCAATCACGGGAGTGGGGTAAACTGTAACGCATGATTGGATGAACCTGGGGCGGAGCGATAAGGAAAGGCGCACACGATAATGAAGGGCGCATACGACAATGAAGTTCACCGCAATAGACCAAGGATCGAGTCATGTCGTGGCAAATACTTACGCCTTTTTCTTGCCTCCCTTCTTTCCCTTGGAAATACGCTTGTTCTTGCTGCACGGAGGTGAGACGGAACAGACGCGGGAAACAAGCCGGCGGGGAGACGTTAGCGCCGCATGGACGGGAATAGAAACCAGAATCATGCAGCCACAGGCCTTCCGGGTAAAAGCATGCGCATTCGGTTCGAGGGCATCCCGGGCGGTGAATGAGGGACATGCCGCGAGAGGGGGGGGCGAGAATGATTCGAAAGCGAGTCATGTTGTGAGCGAATCGAATGGAACGGGGACGACTAAGAGCAAAAGGCGGCTGCTGCGGGCAGAGAGCCGTTGGCGACGTATGTATGGGAAGGAGAGTGAGAGAGCGGTAGAGATTGAGGGCCGCGAGAGAGGGCCAGCTGAAATGATGGCTGGCAGGAGAAGGGGAGGCCGTAGGATGCAGGGGGGCTGGAAGACTTGGAAGCTCAGACGGGGAGGGGAAGGGGCGGCTTGGACAATCGTGCTGAGCGAACGCCTAGTACAGCAATCCTAGGGAAGCGCGTTGCGGGGCCTTGGAATCTAGACTGCCGACAACAAGTATTTCTCATTCTAGGCACTATCAGAAAGTGCGTCGATACCAGCGACGAGTGACTTAGGTTAGGAGTAACCTACCCGACAGCCATGGCGCCTGGTCAAAGACGAGTTTAGCGCCTGCTAAGAAACGCCAGAAGAGAAAGAGGGTAGAGGAGAGATCGCGAGAAAAGGTGGAGGTGAGGGAAGGGAGAGACGGGAGGGACGGAGGGAGGAGTGGGGGAAGAGGGAGAAGCCGTGGGTACAAAGGTGGTTTCCACCCGCAGGTTCGTCAGAAGCACTTCGGTATACGACAACCCAATAATCGAAAGATTTCCAAGCACATCTATCATACATGTTTACCATTATCAGTTACAAACAAACCCTCTCATTCTAACACAAATGATACCACGACGGCAAGTTCGTCAATTTATTCGCACTTAGATAAATGAGAATTTTGGTCAAGAGTGCGTGCATCTAA